CCTGTAGTGGCTGACTGTAAAAGACATGTATCTTAAAAGCAAAATCACACAATTAGGATCCTTTCTTTTCTTTTTTTTTTTTGGTGGGAGTTTCCACAGGAAAAAAATTTAAAACGTGCTATTTTTTTTAAGATTATATAACTAACGACATTTAAATGTACTGATGGATTATGGTAATTTAGCAAGCTCTCTCTTGGGCCAAATATCCTGTAAATTCTTACAAAATGAAAACGTATGTTGGTTCCTATCATAACTAGAATATTATCAAGTTCTTGAGGATTGGCACGTCTCTCTCCAACTCCACTTAAAAAAACATAGTGACTTTAATATTTTGATAGGAATAACACGATTATTAAGTAATTCAAGCAGCTCAGAACATCACCACAATTTTCACTAGTCAGATACAGTAATCCTTAAAATGTGGTGGACAAACCCTTGTGCACTGTTGGTGAGAATGTAAATTGGTGCAGCCATGATGGAAAACAGTATGGAAGTTCCTCAAAATTTGAAAATAGAAATACCATACAATCCAACAATTCCACTCCTGGGTATTTATCCAGAGAAAATGAAAACACTAATTCAAAAAAAGGTATATGCACTCCCATGTTCATAGAAGCACTATTTGCAATAGGCAAGATATGGAAGCAACCTAAGTGTCTATCAACAGATGAATGGATAAAGAAGTGACATACATATAAACACACACACACACACATATATATATATACACACACATATACATACACACAATGGAATATTACTCAACCAAAAAAAGAACAAAATTTTGCCATCTGTAACAACATGGATGGGCCTGGAAGGTATTATGCTTAGTGAAATAAGTCAGAGAGAGAAATTCAAATACTGTATGTTTTTACTTATGGGGGATCTAAAAAATAAAACAAATGAACAAATACAACAAAACAGAAATAGACTCACAGATACAGAGAATTATATATACAGCCTCATAGATACAGTGGTTTCCAGAGGGAAGAGGGGTGGGGGAGAGGGGCAAAATGGTGAGGGGGGTTAAAAGGTACAAACTACTAGGTATAAAATAGCTATTACAAGGATGTAATGTATAGCACAGGGAGTACAACCAATACTTTATAGCAACTTTTTATATGGAGTGTAATCTATAAAATATCAAATTACTGTGGTGTATACCTGAAACCAATATAATATTGTAAGTCAACTATATTTCAGTTTTTTTAAATGTGGTACACTGGTCAGAATGGCTGTCATCAAAAAGTCTACAAATAATAAATGCTGGAGAGGGTGTGGAGAAAAGGGAACCCTCCTACACTGTTGGTGGGAACGTAAATTGATACAGCCACTATGGAGAACAGTATGGAGGTTCCTTAAAAAACTAAAAATAGAGTCACCATATGATCCAGCAATCCCACTCCTGGGCATACATCTGGGAAAGATGAAAACTCTAATCTGAAAAGATACATGTACCCCAATGTTCATAGCAGCACTGTTTACAACAGCCAAGACATGGAAGCAAACGAAGTGTCCATCGACACTTAGGTTAGATGAATGGATAAAGAAGATGTGGTATATATATATAATGGAATATTACTCAGCCATAAAAAAGAATGACACAAAATAGTGCCATTTGCAGCAACATGGACGGACCTAGAGATTATCATATTAAGTGAAGCAAGTCAGACAAATATCATATGATATCACTTATTGGTGGAATCTAAAAAATGATACAGATTAACTTATTTACAAAACAGAAACAGACTCACAGACATAGAAAACAATCATAGTACCAAAGGGAAAGGAGTGGGGAGGGATAAATAAGGAGTCTGGGATTAACTACTATATATAAAATAGATACACACCACTATACACACTACTATATATAAAATAGATAAACAACAAGGACCTACTGTATAGCACAGGGAACTATATTCAATATCTTGTAATAACTGATAATGAAAAAGAATCTGAAAAAGAATACATATATATGTGTGTGTATGTACACATATACACACAAATATATGTGTGTGTATATATATATATACACCTGAATCACTTGCTATACACCCCAAACTAACACAACATTGTAAATCAACTTTACTTCAATTTTTTTTTAAAAAAAGGGATCCATACCCTGCAGGAAAAACAAAAATGTGGTGGACAGCATTACAGGCAACACTCTATGTACAAATACAGAGAGAAGAATTGATGGAAGAACAGATGGATATATGGATGGATGGATGGAAAGAAGAAAGGAAGGAAAGAAAATCACACTATACATGCTTTTGGATTTTTTGAATGTATTTTTAAATTTTAGAATAGCTTTAAATTTACAGAAAAGTAGCAACGGTTGTATAGAGGGTTCCCTTATACCCGGCGTCCAGTTGTCCCCACTGCTAATATCCTACATTAGAAGGATACTGTCAGTGAGGGGGAAATCTCCCTCCTATCTCTCTTTTGAGTTCTTTTGGCTGGTCTAGTAATTAAATTGACACAAGACAGATAAAACAGGAGAAAAAAACAATTCAGTTCTTACACATGGAGTTCTTGTAGAAATGGAATCCCCAAAGTGACAAAAGCAAGCTGTTTATATATCATTTTTAGACAAAGAAACAATTATTTGTGAAGGTTTAACAAAACAAAGGGGCTCATGCTTGGGGTAGCAGACTAATGGAGAAGGAACACTGTTTATACAGCTTAGCCTTGAATTCCCTAACTGGTGATAAGGATGCTTTCTATCCTCCTGATACAGGGAGGATACCTTCACTTGGGAGATTTATTTCCTGCTTTCAGCAGGAAAGAGCAGGGTCAGAGTGGGTTTTTTAAAATATTTTTTTTCACCAGCTGCTTCTCAAGTAACTTTAGTTCAAAACAATCAATATGCCATTGAGGCATATTTTGGGGCAGCTTGCCCTGGGCCCCAACAATACATTGGTCAAAACTAATGAACTAATTTGTCAAGACTAATGAACATTATTATTAACTAAAGTCCATACTTTATTCAAATTTCCTTAGTTTTAAATTCATGTCCTTTTTCTGCCCCAGGATCTCATCTAGGATACCACATTACATTAAGTCATCGCTTCTCCTCAGGCTTCTCTGGCCTGTGACAGTTTCTCAGATTTTTCTTGTTTTTGATGAACTTGAGAGTTCTGAAGAATACAGGTCAGGATACTTTGTAGCCTGGCCCTCAATTTGGGTTTTCTGATGTTGTTCTCGTGATTAGGGTTAGGGTGCTTGGGAGGTAGACTGCAAAGGTAAAGTGCCACTCTCACCGCAACATGTCCAGGGTACATGCTATCAACATGACTCATCGCTGATGATGTTAAACTTGATTGTACACTTGTGGCAGTGTTTGTCAGATTTTTCCACTCCTGTCCTCCTTTCCATACTGTACTCTTTGGATGGAAGTCACTATAGGCAGCCCATATTTAAGGGTTAGAGTGTTATGCTGTATTGATTTCAGAGTATAGCACCTACATAAATTATTTGAAATTCTTTTTTTTTTTTTGGCTGCACTGTACAGCATGCGGGATCTTAATTTCCCAACCAGGGATCGAACCTGGGCCCCCTGCAGTGGAAGCACGTAGTCCTAACTACTGGACCGCCAAGGAATTCCCTTGAAATTCTTTTGTACAGGAGATTTGTCTGTTCTTATTTATTTACCTACTCATTTATTTGTGTCAATATGGATTCAAAGATATTTATTTTATACTTTGGGTTATAATCCAATACTACATTATTTAGTTTGTTGCTCAAAATATTTCAGCTTTGGCCATTGAGAGCTCTTTCGGATAGCCCGTGAGTCCCTTTGACATGCATCCATTGTCTTGTTTTTTGAGCATTTCCTTGCTTTCTGGCACCACAAGATGCTCCAGGTTCATCTTGTATATTCCCTGTCCCAGCCCTAGGATCAGCCATTTCTCCAGTGAGTCCTGTTCCCCTTTACTGAAGAATGGTATTTAGAATCCAAGATCTGGGTGCTGGGTGTGCTCTTTGCCACTGGGGTTTAGCACTTCTTTCCTTTTCTCTTCTTCTAGACCCTCTCAGAGTAAAGAAATATTTCTGTGTATACTACCCAGTGTATATACATATATCTATATTTCTATATGCATCCATCTGTCTCTATATTACGACAAACATGAGTCCATACTAACGTCTCCAAGTCTAGTCCATTACCATACATTTTTAAAATATTGCAACTACGGAGAAATATAAAGCCAACCTGATTTTTTTCTCTTCTTCTACTTAACTCACTTTTCCTAGCAATTCTGCTTATCTTCGACATTCAGTAACTTTACCAGGCCCTACATTAGATTTGATCATTTTGACTGGACCCTGGCTCCATGAGTGGGACCGAAGTGTTCAGAGGACAAGACAAGGAAGCCACCTTCTCCACAACTTCTAGGCTAAGTCCCATGGTGGTGGCTCCAGTCCTAGGACAAAGAGTTCTCTTTGGCCTCTCCTATTGTCCAACTAGGGGAAAAACTCTTCCAGGGCAAGCAGCTCCAAGTAAGGATTTGTAATTTACTTAGTTTAAAAATTTGATGTTTAAATTTGTACAGAGTAAAAGTCACTGTCTGTGATGTGCAGTTCCATGGATTTTGACAAATATATAGAGATGTGTATCTATCACCACAGTCATGATACAGAACAGTTCACTCACCCCGCAAGTTCCCTCCTGTGTCCCTTTATAGTCAACACTCTTCCCTTCTCCCCAATCTTTGTTAACCACTGATCTGTTCGTCATCCCTATAGTTTTGTCTTCTTCAAAATGTCATATAGCAGGCAGCCTTTTGGGTCTGGTTTATTTCACTTAGCAAAAATTCATTTGAGATTCTTCCATAGTATTATATAAAATCACATAATTTTAATATTAATATCCATGTACTATATCAGCATAGTTTATATTTTTGCTCTAGTGAATCCTTTGAATGCCTCTATTAGTTTCCTTTTGCTACATAACAGATCAGTGCCATCTTAGGAAGTTAAAACATCAGTTTATAACTCACAGTTTCCATGGGTCTGGAGTCCAGGCACAGCTTGAAGGAGTCCTCGATTCAGGGTCCCACAAGGCTGCAGTCAACATTTCAGTCTGGGTTGCTATCACATCTGAGGCTCACAATCCTCTTCTAAGCTCACCGCTGGCAGAATTCAGTTCCTAGCAGTTATAGGACTGAAGTTCTTGCCCTGCCAACACTTTGACTTTAGTGCTGCGAAACTGATTTCGGATTTCTGACCTCCCAGGCTGTAAGAGAATAAACTTGTGTGTTTTAATCCCTTAAGTTGTGGTAATTTGTTACAGCATTACTGAGACACTAATACACTGCACATTAGGAGAGAAGTGTATGTCCAAGGGATATATTAAATAGAATAGGGATTCTCAAACTCTTTTGACTGCCAACTCTTGGTAAGAAATACATTTTACATTAATATCCAATATGAGCAAGGATTCACAGTTATATATATAATCCAAAGTTTTACAAAGAAATATTTATTCCCTAAAGTATTACCCTGACATTTTCTGTACTATTTTATTCCATTCCATTCTTCTTCTTCCTCTTGTTTTTTTAAATGCTGGTTGGGACCCACTAAATAGATTTCATAATCTCCTAATGAGTATCTTGGAAAACACTGTGGTGTTCAGGGAAGAGACTACCACCTAAGAAGGGTAGACTGGAACTCAACTGAGATGGGCTTTAAAGGTCAACCTCTTGACAGCATATGACAAATGCTTCTTAGTAGCTCATAGTTGGTGCCATTGCCATCAGGGACCTAAACAGACTACAGACAGTGCAAAGTTTTTCTCTGGAACTCTGAACGAATTTCCTACTTCAATGGTTCTCAACTGAGGGTGATTTTGCAGCCCAGGGGACATTGGACAGTGTCTGGAGACATTTTTGCTGTTACAGTTGGGAGAAAGGCAGCTACTGGCACCAAGTGGGTGGAGGCCAGGGGTGATACTGATAATCAGTCTTCAATGCACAGGACAGCCCTCACAACAATGAATTATCCAGCCCCGCATGCCAACAGTGCTGAGGCTGAGAAACCAAGCTCCGGTTGCATCTTAGTCAGCTGTGTCCAAACCGGCTGTGTCAGTCTCTTTTGGAGCCCTTTCCAGGCCTATTCTCCCTTACCATGTCCTGTGGTCCAAAATTATGCCTTTCCTACCTGGCATAAAACATTCACAAACTCTTGTGAATTACGTTTATGTTTTAGTCCATTTGGGCTGCTGTAACAAATACCGCAAACTGGTAGCTTATAAACAACAGTAATGTATTTCTCGCTGTTCTGGAGGCTGGGAGTCTGAATCAAAGTGCCAGTATGGTCGAGTGAGGGGTTCCTCTTCCGGGTTTCAGACTTTCCGTTGTATCCTCCCATGGCGGAAGAGGAGAGCAAGCCCTGCGGAGCCTCCTCTATAAAGGCACTGATCCCACTCATGAAGGCTCCACCCTCACGATCTAAGTGCCTCTCAAAGGGACCATCTCCCGATAACATCACCTTGCGGGAGACGGCACGGCGTGGGGTTAGATTTCAACATGTGAGTTTTGCGGGGGACACATTCAGACCATAGCAGCTTGGGATAAATGACAGCTGCATTTAGAAGAGTTTATTAATGGAAAGCAGTGACTGGTGAAATGTGCATGAGATCTTCTAGGCACACAGCGGCTTGTTCCAGGCTGCTGCTCTCAGTGAATTAAAGAGCCACACCTGCAAATTGTTTCAAACTTTCCAAACTACAAAGTACCTCATCTGGTCATCTTTATGCTTTATTAGATTTTACTACAGTCAGAGTTAAAGTACATTTGAAAATCATCTGAATGGGACACAATTAGCATTGGCCTACTGAAAGTTGAAAAGATAATGACTTCCACATTATAAAGCTGTTTAAGAAGTTTTTCACTCTAAACATAATTTAAGTGTCCCTAATTCTATAAGTTCCATGGTGGGGCACCAGAAAGCAGCTTAAGGGTAGAAGGAACAGTCAATAACTACCTTCTGTTGTTTCTATAAGGAACTGGTATAAAATACACCATATATTTAGGAAAGGACATCTAATTAAAGCGAATAGTGGTTAACTTTCTAAGGGAGGCCCAGGCCACATTCACAGGGCCAGCTCATTGGGATAGAGGTCAGTGGTGACACACATAGAGAAGGGAGTGGTTGTGCTTAGTGTAAACGGTGGATTGTGAAAATAATCTATTTTAGCCTTCATATTTGGGGTGGTCTTTAGGGAAAAAAATACCACATGTATTGTTAATTCTAGAACAAATGGTTCCGTGGTTGGAGTATTATTGTCTCTTCTTGTTCCATAGAAACATGAAAGCACTTATAAAAATAAACTCCAGGAAGTGGACGATACATTACAAAGAGGGATTTATACATAATAATTAGAATTCCTGCCTTCTGAAACTAAGATAGCTTTACTGTGGAAAATACTCTGATCTTAATTTCTGTGTTGCAATATGCAGCCTTTACCCAACCCCAGGGGAGGTTGGAATAGTAGCCAGGAGGTCTTAGCAAACCAAAATTCAGGAGCTTGAATAGTTAAGGAAGGTGTCCAAAAGAGAAAGTTCCAGAAGGCAGTGTTCCAAGCAGAACAGACCCTTGAAAGTGAAAAATATTCTTTACTAGCCAGCCAGGCTCCTTCTGTACTTGTAGGTATTTCCTCCGCCGGAGCAAAAACATGTTTTTTGTGTGTGTGTGTGCATCTGTGTGTTTTTTGGCTGTGTTGGGTCTTTGTTGCTGCGCACGGGCTTCCTCTAGTTGCTGCGAGTGGGGGCTACTCTACGTTGCGGCGCGCAGGCTTCTCATCGCGGTGGCTTCTCTTGTGGCGGAGCATGGGCTCTAGGCGCACAGGCTTCAGTAGTTGTGTCACGCGGGCTCTAGAGCACAGGCTCAGTAGTTGTGGCGCATGGACTTAGTTGCCATGAACCACAACTACTGAAACCCGCACGCCTTGAGACCGTGCACCGGTAACCACCATTTTCTCTGGTTTTATGAATTCAGCTTTTTTTAGATTCCGTATTCAGGTGATATACCTAGTATTTGTCTTTCTCTGTCTGACCTATCACACTTAGCATAATACCTCAAGATCCATGTGGCTGCAAATGGCAGGGTTCCCTTCTTTCTTGTGACTGAATAATTGTGTGTGTGTATGTGTATTATTTTTTCCCACACTCTCACCAACACTTAACCTCTTGTCTTCTTGATGACAGCCATTCTAACAGATGTGAGTTGATAACTCATTGTGGTTTTCTTTAACCTCTTTTTTTAATTGAAGTATAGTTAATTTACAATGTTGTGTTAGTTTCAGATGTACAGTAAAGTGATTCAGTTTTATATATATATATCACATGATTCTTTTCTTTGTCTGACTTACTTCACTTAGTATAATAATTTCTAGGTCCATCCATGTTGCTGCAAATGGCATTATTTCATTCATTTCTATGGCCAAGTAATATTCCATTGTGTGTGTGTGTGTATGTGTGTGTGTGTACATATGTGTATATATATATGCCACATCTTCTTAATCCATTCATCTGTCAATGGACACTTAGGTTGCTTCCATGTCTTGGTTATTATAAACAGTGCTGCTATGAACATTGGGGAGTATGTATCTTTTTGAATCAGAGTTTTCATCTCTTCTGGATATATGCCCAGGAGTGGGATTGCTGGATCATATGATAACTCTATTTTTTGTTTTTTAAGGAACCTCCATACTGTTTATTCTCCACAGTGGCTGCATTAATTTGCATGCCCATCAACAGTGTTGGAGGGTTCCCTTGTCTCCACACCCTCTTCAGTATTTATTGTTCATAGATTTTTTGATGATAACCATTCTGGCTGGTGTAAGGTGATATTTCACTGTAGTTTTGATTTGCATTTCTCTAATAATTAGCGATATTGAGCAACTTTTCATGTGCCTGTTGGCCATCTGTATGTCTTCTTTGGAGAAATGTCTGTTTAGGTCTTCTGCCCATTTTTTGATTGAGTTGTTTGTTTTTCTGATATTAAGCTGTATGAGCTGTTTGTATATTTTGGAAATTAATCCCTTGTCAGTAGCATTGTTTGCAAATATTTTCTCCCATTCTGTAGGTTGTCTTTTCATTTTATTTATGGTTTCTTTTGTGTGCAGAACTTTTAAGTTTAATTAGGTCCCATTTCTTTATTTTTGTTTTTATTTCCATTACTCTAGGAGATGGATCCAAAAAACTATTGCTACAATTTATGTCTAAGAGTGTTCTGCCTATGTTTTCCTCTAGGAGTTTTATTATTTGGTCTTACATTTAGGTCTTTAATCCATTTTGAGTTTGTTTTTGTATATGGTGTTAGAGAATGTTCTAATTTCACTCTTTTACATGTGGCTATCCAGTTTTCCCAGCACGACTTATTGAAGAGACTGTCTTTTCTCCAGTGTATATTCTTACCTTCTTCGTTGTAGATTAACTGACCATAAGTGCATGGGTTTATTTCTGGGTTTTCTATCCTGTTCCACTGATCTATATGTCTCAGGTAGATTGCTTATGTCCATTTCACTTAGTTCTTCTTCTGGGGTTTTATCTTGTTCGTTTGTCTGGAACATACTCCTCCATTGCCTCATTTTGTCTAAATTTCTATTTGTATTTTTATGTACATGGCAGGTTATGTTTCTCTACCTTGGAGAAGTGTCCCTCTGTAGGAGATGTCCTATGCATCCCAGCAGTGCACTCTCCTCTTGTCACCCAAGGGTCAGGGGCCAGCTGGTCCCAGGGTAATGTCTGGCCTGCCTTTGCAGTTTCGGTCTATAGGATGTTAATTGTTTGGCCTGAGGTGTCCCAGCACTGGAGCCTACAGGCTGTTGGATGGGGCCAGATCTTGGTGCTAGATCCAAGCAAGATGTCAGCCTCGAGGGGAGTTCATGCAGATAACCACTATTGATATATCTGCCACCAGTGCCTGTGCCCACAGGGTGGGCCACAGCCGCCCCCCCTTCCTCCCCAGGAGACCCTCCAAGACCACCAGGTAGATCTGGCCCAGATTCCTATGAAATTACTGCTTTTGCCTTTGGTCCTGGTGTGAATGAGATTCTGTGCATGCGTTTTAAGAGTGAAGTCTCTATTTCCCCCAATCCTGTGGAGCTCCTGCAATCAAGCCCTGCTGGCCTTTGAAGCCAAATGCTCTGGGGGATCCTCTTCCAGAGCCCCAGACCCCCGGGCTGGGGGTGGCCTGATGTGGGGCTTAGAACCCTCACTCCTGTGGGAGATC